AATAATAAGAGTAATATTAAAACTAACTAGCTGCCGCCATTGTTGGAAACTGAGCTGGGCTGCGCTATGAATTCTGGGACACAGCTGCTTCTTCTATTAAATCAGTCGTCGACGATTTTGATAGTCGACTAATCGTGACTAGTCGACTAATCGTGGCAGCCCTAGTTCATATGATCTTGTTTCAGTCGGTAGTCGTGTGTGGTGGTGGTGATGATTAATATTATTAATATTTTTGTCCATTTCTATGCCAGTTTAGGGATTGTTGATTAAAGCAAAGCAAACTGAAAAGGAGAACTTATTTTTTAGACAGGAAAAAACCCAAATATTACATTTTTATATGATTTTGTTTTGTTTTGAATGAGTAAATCTTATTTTTGAGATGAAATTAAATCATTTTCCCCTTGTCAGTAAAATCAGTTGATCAGTAAACCCACTCACTGTGGTTCTTTAAATCCTCCTCGTTATATTTGCAGCACCGTGTCATCTGATAAACCGACGTTCGCTGTTTGCAGCCTCACTGTGTCGTTGCTCTCTCATCAGTATCTCGCCTCGCTGCTCCTCCATAAGAAGTTTGCCGCAGAGTTCATCGCTCACGGAGGAGTGCAGAAACTCCTGGAGATCCCGAGGCCGTCGATGGCAGCGACCGGAGTTTCTCTCTGCCTCTACTACCTGGCGTATAACCAAGACGCCATGGAGAGGGTAAAGCTAAAGCACTCTTCTTATCGTGTGCAGGATTATTACAGCAACCGTAGCTCAGTCATGGTGAACGCCGTCCTGTGTTTGCAGGTGTGCACGCTGCCCGACGGCGTGCTGTCCGACACGGTGTCCTACGCGCTGTGGCTGCTGGAGTCGTCCCACGCGTCGGGCGTCTGCCACGCCACCATGTTTTTCTCCATCTCCTTTTCTTTCCGAGCGGTGCTGCAGCTGTTCGACCAGCAGGACGGCCTCCGGCGGCTCGTCAACCTGGTCAGCCGCAAATCTTTACTCTTAAATGATTTAAACTAATTTCAGAAGTAACTATTTCTTTCGATCGGACACTTTTAGCATCGTCTCCTCTGCCTGTAGATCAGCACTCTGGAGATCCTGAACATGGAGAGCGAGCTGTCCAGGCTGAGCGATGACCAGGTGTTCTCCAGCAGGCAGACGGCCAAACACACCTGCATGGCGCTGCGCAGGTGAAACGATGGGTGGAAAATTCTTATCTGACATAGCGGCCATGTTTTATTTAGATATTTGTACATATATAATGTATTTCTTTATTGTGTTGCCGGGTAGAAGTAAATAAATGCTCTTCACAGTCTCAACACGCAGGCAGTTCCTTTCTGCTTGTGTTAAAGTTTGAAAACACACTCATTGATTATCGATTACTTTGTGAAGGTACTTTGAGGCTCACCTCGCCGTGAAGACCGAGCAGGTGAAGCAGTCGCTGCACGCGTCGGACGGCGGTATCGTCATTCCCCAGCAGCCGTTTTACAAGGTACTCGATGGAGTTTGTGAGTCGTTGCTGTGCTTTTTTATTTAAA